AGAGATCCACCTGGCTCTGCCTCCCGAGTGCTAGGATTAAAGGCGTGCGCCACCACCGCCCGGCACTTATAACTTATTTTAACCTGTTCCTCTTCATCTATGTTTTGCCTTGGAGCTTTTTACCTTTTTCCTTCTGTATGTCCTACTCCATGGCTGGCTGGCTGGCCCCTGGTGTCTTCCTCTCTTTCTCCTTCCTTCTCTCTCCCAAGCCTAGATTCCTTCTCCTACTCATTCTCTCTGCCTGCCAGCCCCATCTATCCCTCTACTGCCTAGCTTTTGGCCGTTCAGCTTTTTATTAGACCAATCAGGTTCCTTAGGAAGGCAAAGTAAAACAAATGTAACACATCTTTGCCTAGTTAAACAAATATTCCACAACAAGAATTAATATTGTATTGTCATTTATAATCAGATGGCATATAAGTTGGGTATAGACTCTCCACACTTCAAATTTTTTTTTTCCAAATTAAAAAAGTTACAGGTTTTAAACAGCTGGTGTCTGGTTATGCTTTTCAGGACATGATTAGGCAAATTAAGACCATTAGTACCTGTGATGCCAGGGTTCTTGACTGGTTGGCTGTGTCTGAAAGAGACGAGAATGTCAGACTCTTGATCAAGTTGAACAAGTGCTACCATGAGTAAAGGAAGTTACTTTACAGCATAAGAAAGTCTTAGGCCAAATGCACGCCGTGGCCAGAGTAGAATGGTGGGTCCTTGTGTGCCTTGAGCAGGGGTCTATTGCTGCGCATCTCAGGGTGAACATGACACCTGTCAGTGGGTCAGGAACGCTCTCCCCAGAGTGCAGAGTCAGAGAAGAGTAAGGAGACGGAGGTAGCCAGTGAGAAGCAAAGTCCCGGGACGGTGGCTCCCCTTTGCCTCCACCACACTGCCGTGTCGTGTGTGTGCATGCAGGCAGCCCTCATTAAAGGCAGCGAGCGGGTCACAGAAGATGGTCAGCTGGTAGAGGTGCTGGCCGCCATGCCTGGACTGAGGGGGAGGAGGTAAAAGAGGATAACGGGAGGGACTTTCATCAAAGAGCAGCGTGCGTGCTGGAAATCATGAAAGAATAAGGACTTTAAAAAATACATATTTTAAAAACGAAATGACCCACTGAGGGAACCGTGTGGCCTGCCAGTGGGAAGTTGGGGGAAGGCAGAGAGAATATTCTTCGGTATGAGTGTTCTAGTATTCAAACAAGTCTTGTTGGTAACAGCCACAAGTGTGAGAATAGAAGGGTCAGGATAAGATTTCTCGTCTGGCCACACAGTCCCTGGGAGACTGGGTGTGCATTTGACATGAAAAGGGAGCTGATGTGTGGCCGAGACTGTCCAGACTTACGTCAGCCACCGGTGGGGTCCTTGTTAAAGAAAGGTGGTGATTCATGTTTCATGTGGAGATGCAGACACCTAGGAACCATCTAATCTTGAAGATCTCATGGCTCTAAGGCGGAAACTAAAATATTTATGAAAATTACAAGCATTCATAATGGCTACATAAATATGTATTGTAATATAAATAAGATACCATGTACTAAGAAGATAACAAGCATGTCATAGTAGCACTGGAAAGTTGTCTGCCAAACCAAACCTGGGAACAGTCTAGAAGGAAGTAAGGCAGACTCCAGGGAAGAGACCAGAGCCAAGATCAAGCGCAGAGGGACACAGCTCACGCACTGTGACGTGCGTGCTGGGCCGGACACCGTGTGTTCTGCATCTGGACCCTGGTGCAGAGGCTCCCTCTCATTGTCCTTTCCCTGTGGCAGGCAAGCTCACATGTGAGCATCTGGTTCTCTCTTCCTGGATGCCCCATTCTCTAGATACGGGGGACCTAGGGACAGAGAATCTGGTAGTGGGGAGTTCTGCTTCCTGCAAAGCCATGAGCAGAGAGTCCCCAAGTCAGGGCAGTCCTCGGGGGACAAGTGTCCATGGCAGAGTCCCCAGAGCCCCTAGCACGGGAGGGTAATAGGGTTCTCGTAGAAAACATCCATTGTTTCTCTTTGAATCATGTTTTTCACCCCAGGTGCCTTTAACGTGTGAATACACACTTGTTTCTCCAAGAGGAGGTTGGATTTGCCATGTGTTTGAGCAAGGTATCTTTTTCTTAGGAACTTGTGGGAAGATGAAACGCACCTTAATAACTAATGTAAAAATATAGAAATCGTGTACGATTCAGGCTAAAGGGACATGTTCAAAGAATGACACATTTATTTATGTGTGTTTATGGAAAATTTATGGAACTGTTTTTGAAAATAGGATCTCACGTGCTCTAGATTTAGACCACCAAGGATGACCTTGAATGCTTCCTGCCTCTGTGCAAGGCTAGGATTACAGGCACACACCGACACACCCAGTTTATGCCCAGCTGCAGATCATACCCAGGGCTTCAAACATGTTAGACAAGCATCCCAAAACCCAAGTTACATCCCCAGCCCCAGAATCATTTTTTTTTTTTTTTTTTTTTTTTTTTCAAGACAGGGTTTCTCTGTGTAGCTTTGCGCCTTTCCTGGAACTCACTTGGTAGCCCAGGCTGGCCTCGAACTCACAGAGATCCGCCTGGCTCTGCCTCCCGAGTGCTGGGATTAAAGGCGTGCGCCACCACCGCCCGGCTCAGAATCATTTTTATAGTGAGTACTATGCCAAGCCAAATGTTATTTGGTGTTATGAACTTGAAGGTAAGCTATTTTTAAATGTAAATAATTTAGTTCAGGATACAATTAGTTCACGGAAGGAAAAGCTCCCCTTCCTAGTTTAGGAAATTTAGATTAAGTAGTTAAGTTAGGACCCTGCACCTCAGCTGAGCACTGGCCTGGACAGAGCCCCTTAGCTGACCCCTCAGCTCATAGGAGTGGGTACCACCACCTCAAAGTGGCACATAGTCAGAGGACCTGGTAGCCCCTGGCATTGGCCCAGCCCCAGAGACTCTGTCCACCTCCCCGTGCAGTTCCTATCTCCATTGAGGGCCTTCAGAAGTCACCAACACCACAAACTCAGAACTGTGGGAGAAGAGGGGAATCCAGTGGCATGGACCAGAGAGTGGCGAGGGCATTACTTCAGGATGAGCACCTGCTGGGTGGGTGGCCATGTGGAGCTGGAGGAAGGGGACTGTGGGATTCCCGGGTGTGGTGGGGGCTGGGGTGCCCTCCTGAATATCTGGGACACGTGCATCCTTGGTGCAATCGTACCAGTCAGTGCGATTCTCCGGACAGGGTTACTCCACTGGAGGTCATTTCGCCCCCTCAAGAGACGCTGGCTGAAGATAATTTGAGGCCCTTACAGCCGGGAAGGAGAGTGTTACTGGAAGCTAGGGGTAGAGGGGAGGAAGGCATTACAAGGCACAGTACAGCCCCACAGCCAGAATTGTCCCACCTAAGATGTCCACAGCTTCGAGGCTGGGTTTTCATGCAGCCTGCTTCAGACAGAAATCTTCGAGCTTTGTGTGGTGCTCCGCACTTTATCCCCAGCACTTGGAAGCCATTCAGCACATGTCTACTGAATGCCAGGGAGCCATGCCTTCCCTCTCTTCAGGGTGTCTCCCAAGTCCCAGCTGAGCGCGGCTATGTAGGACCCAGCTCCTGAGCTAGGGGAGTGGCTTTCAAAGCAGCTCCCTGTGTGCCTTTCTGCTCTGCCTGCCTTGCCTGCCTTTTTCAATATTGAATCCGCGTAGGTAATGGCTTACATCTGTGCCTGAGAAGAAACGCAATAAGCATGCAATTTTTCCTGTGCTTATGTCTTATTTTAGTGTAGGAGTGATCAATGTTGAGCATTTTTAATGCAATTTTGCGGTTTTGAATTTATGTGAAAAGAATCCTTTTGAGGAGAGAACTCTGTGCCCCTCAGAGCTGGCTCAGTGGGGTGTGCATTAGGCCATCAGAGGATGCCATTACAGCCCTTTAGTGCCCTTCATCCAGGCACAGCAAAGCCGCTTCCTGAACTAGGAAGCCAACAGTTTCATGGTGTCACAAACCAATACAGGTGAGCTTTCTAGTCCACAGATGTCCCTCCCTCCCGAGTTCCCCAATGGAGCCATGAGTTGAAGGGATGGTACGCACTCAGCCTCTTCCTGTGAGGTCTCATGGTGAATCCATTTCATTACACACTCACACACCCTGTTCGTCATGGAGGGGAGCATTCAGCTGGGGCGGCTTTCAAGTAGACCCAGCTGCAGGTTATTTACCATATTTAAAATTACCTCACAGTGTCATGTGAATCTTTTAACGGATGTGAGGGCATAGGAAGAAGAGCAGATACTCAGAAGTGTGTGTCTGTGGAGACGTGAAGTGTGTGTGTATAGACAAGCCCGCTTTGTTTATCTCTGTGTCTGTAGACCACTGAATATAAAAATGTAGGGTTCATTCTCTTAAGCAGTTTAGGAAATAGTCTTGCCTGCTCTCAGGAGGCTCTGGGGCGTTGCTCACTGATTAGCCTGGTAAGATCTTTATGAGGGCTCTGGAGAGTAATTTATTTCTGATCCAGAACTGAGTAACTATGGTTCTCCTGGGTTTCCTGGCTCGTTTTCGTTAATCTTAGAAACACCGCCTGTGTAAGTGCTTTCTCTTTAAGAATCACGTTGGTCATCCACCCTCACTCAAGAGAGTGCAGCTGCTCAGTGGCCAGGGCTCCGCTGGCCACTCCTTTCTCTTTTGCCTGCACCTCAAAGTTACCGCCAATGTGATGATGTCTTTCTCTGTGGACCTGCAGGCATGTTTTTGCAGAAAGGTAACTGGAAGGAGTACATGCATGTGCTGTCGGAGCCAGTCAAAACTGGTTTCACCTGCTTCTTTTCTCCTTGTAGATTGAGATGCTACCAGACGGGCTCTTCCAATGCAAGAAGCTGCAGTGTCTGCTCCTGGGGAAGAACAGCCTGACAGATCTGTCCCCTCTGGTGGGTGAGTTGTCAAACCTCACCTACCTGGAGCTGGCTGGGAATTACCTGGAGACACTGCCCCCCGAGCTGGAAGGGTGTCAGTCCTTGAAGCGGAGCTGCCTGATTGTGGAGGACAGCCTGCTCAACACTCTCCCGGCCCCCGTGACGGAGCGCTTGCAGACATGCTTAGACAAGTGTTGACCTGAGGATCAGACTCACGGCCAGAGCAGTTGCAGAGTGAGGCCCCGGGGCTGAAAGGAGAAGGAACTTTCCTGAGTTACGGAGATGAAAAGTGGCTGGTGGTTATGACACACCCTAACCCAAAACCTTCCCAAATGACCCAGTGTGAAAGCAAGTCAGAGGAAGATGTCAGCGTTGCAGTTTTGTGAATAAAACTGATCTTTAAATTATTGAGATGTTGTAAAAATAATAAATAAAAGTAATACGTTGAGGTGGCCTGAGAGGCGTGGAGTTATAGAAACTTTACCTTTCAAGTCTTATCTTCAGGACTCTGTATTTTTCCGCTCCTTTAGCCCATTACTTATTTGTGCTCTTGTTTTCCTGACTTTCTTGTCACCAACCCCATAAAGACTCATCAGCACAAATGTCCTTGATGTGTGCTCGCCATTGGTTTGATTTATATTCTTCCATTTTTTTTTAAGGCAGGCCACATTGTGCTCGGCTTCCTCCCCACTTCCTCTCTCATTTTGCTGGAATCCTCATCTGGTTTTCTCTGCACAACAGTGAACATCCCTGGGAGAATTGCTAACACTTGGCATTCGCCTAGAACAGGAGCCAGGGTTCCTAGGACATGTGGTCCTCTGAGCATCCTAAAAATTAATGTTTTCTCAGATTTGTCTTCTTGTCTGTCATCAAAGCCTTTTTAAAATACGTTAAGAGTTTTTATATGAGACAAAATATTTTCTACAGTATGATCTTAGATTCTACATCTATGAGAACACTTTGTAAGGTATAGTGAACATGTGCATCTCTATAAGAATTTACTGATTCTCAGTTTGGGCTGATTATGATTCTCATGTTTGTATGCATTCTGCTCCAAAAAGTTTTTGTACTCTGCAACTAATTACTTTTGGATGACAAAGCCTTGTGTTGTTTTCCCCCAGAGTCGTTGAGGGGTCTCTGTGTGAGAGGACAGCTGCACCATCTACCTCTCCTTGTGCAACCGTATGGGTCCAATCCTCAATTACTTACAAACTGGTGGAGGGGAGGGGGCAAGGTCTAGATTGGAAAATGCTTTGTAGAAACTAGGTAAGCATTAGATAAAAATGTAGGGCGTCCCTCCATCTACACGCTCTCTCAGTATGGTTAGGATGGAAGCTGTCTGTTCACCACCTAAGTGAGTTCACTTAGCTGATGTCCATCTCATGCCTTGCAACTCCTGGGATATGTCTTGTTTCTTTTGACAGAGAGCTTTGTGTTGGTTCTTTATTATCGTGCATATCATTGAATAAATAAAATGGACTGGCTCACTCTAGGGAAGTGAACATTGTAGTGTATTTTTTCTCTACTGGGTCTAGGCGTTATGAACTCACCTCTTTTTGGACATTAACTGCATCTACACGAAACTGGAAAACACTGTGGGTCGAGAATCTTCTAAACACTCAACTGCGATGTGTAGTTTTTCTCTTGATTTGTTCTAGAAAGATGAAAGTGAGTCTTCCAAGTATAAGCAATGCCTCTTTTCTTAGCTGCCACATATGCCTGATGTTCAGAGAAAAGAATTATGCAGAAGAAACTGGAAGGGGGTTAGTTACAAAGAATATCTAGAGAAGGCCCAAAAGCTGCCTAACACTGTGAATGGCAAGGAACAGACTGAAAATAGACATATTAACAAAGCTTGCCTTCATCAGAACGTCCAAGTTCTCAGGGAACCAGGGATGACCAGGGCAGCTCTCTCTGGGACCTCACAGACAGGTCCTGGTATAGCTAAGTTTTTTCTTATTTTTACTTTTTTAAAAATGTGAGTTGATGATAAATGTTTTCCAGTAGAATCATCATGTGGACCAATTCCAAAGTTGGCTGGAATTTTCTGAAGTTTTGAATAAATGTTTTATGTGAGGGAGGTTTCAATATTATCAACCATACTTCTTATGAAAAAAAAAATCCCACTCTTTTTATAGGAAAGAAATTCAAAACACAGTTCAGATTTTCTAACCCTCACCCAACAAAAGAGAACTTCCCCATACCTTGTTCTCCAGTGCAAGCATCATTGGCTAACTCTCCTACCTCCTCAAAGCAGTTCTCTGGAAGGATCAACTGTGAGGTGTAAGCCGCTTTCCCCACACTAGGCTGTTTTTGCTGCTAGAAACCATATCGCTCTTGAGACCACAGTTCCGAGATGTCTTTTGAATTTAATGCTTATGCAACAATGTTGAGGTAGCTTTTCAAGCTAACCAACACTATGGCAATGAACAATACACTACTGCCCAACTGATGGAGATCGGTGTTAGCGTTGGCTTCACTGGCCTGTGTCAGTACTCACCTAGTACCTAACAGATTCTTAAATGAAGAAAATGAAATCATCTTAATTATCATGAGACTTTCCAAAAACCAAACATAAAGGATCGAAAGCAAAGTTTTGGCTGATGGTGCGATGGTATGGATTCATTGTATTTGCATCCACACACAAATACAGAGAGACACATGTCTCGTATTTGCAAATTTTGTTTAGGTTAGTCTAAGAATAGCAACTTTTTTTTAATTCATTACTTTTAATCATGAAGTATTTGATTTCCTTCATCATGGTATTTAAAATCAAACACTATTTGAGAAGGTACCATGTGTTTCCACAAAAGTGGAGGGTTTTTTCCTTGTCTGTATCAGGGTGGACCTCTGTAGCATATTGATGATGCATTTTCATTTTAATCTCCTATGTATCACCATATTTCTCTGTTACAAATAAACAAGTTGATTCAGGGTACATGGAATGCTTGGGGTCTCAGTGATGTGGCAAGCTCTAATTTATCTGCTGTAGTATGCTAACACGGCTTATGTATATAACATTACTCCTTGGTAGTGAAATGGTTCTGCTGGTGTTTTATCATTCAGATATCATGTTTAATTAAAATATTACATGAATATTGATGGGTTCATTAAAACAGGCAAACACTTATTCTATAGACTTGACATTATTTCCTTATATTTTCAGTAAAATTACCTTTCCATCTTTATATTCGTGTCGCGCTGGTCCATCCACGTCAGGTATCTTCGTGCTCACCCACCTCACTGAGTCTGACCCGCACTGTATGGAAGCGGTGTCCGCTTGCTGTAGCATTTGCAGGGACCCCCACGTGTGCGCAGCCTTCATGCCTGCTCTAGGAATCCAGCCTCTGCTCACCTTGTTTTCATTGACTACATATTGCATTTGAATCTGTATTACTTCCTGGGAGATAAAAGACAATAATTAGAGAGAGAAAGGAAGACATTTTGCATCTTGGAAGAAATGCATATATTTAGACAGTGTAAAGAACAGTACTGTAGCATGTCCTGGGTGTGACGGTTTCTCATCTGTACCTGTGTGGTGTGCTGAAGCAGGGGAAGCTGCAGAATGGCTCCCTTCAGGTCTCTTGCCCACAGCTTCTGCATCCAGTGACAGCTGTCTACTGTGCATCTTTTGCAATGGACTTCATGAACTATATTCTCTTCAGCCTTTTAAAAAAAAATATGCACAGTTTCATCAACATGGAAGTATTAACACAGATTATATGAGCCAAAGTACTGAGTTGAGATGGCCTCTAGTTGAACTTAATTACATACTAAAGTTTTGAATTTAACACAAATACACCATAGCTGAAAAAAAACAATTATGAATGCCTTCTGCATGTTCATTATTTCTAACAGACATGGTGCAACTTTAAAAATACAAAAGGGTATATATAGCATTAGAATGGATGTGTCTGTGCTCATATCTGCTGTGTGTCAGCCTTTAGATCAACATTGTACAGTAAGACAAAATTCTAAGTTTCATTCTAAGTAACATAATGGGCCACTCTTGAGTGGAGACACTCTCTTCTGTTGGCTCCCAATGAAGGCTAGCATTTGTTACTTTATCTTAAAATACCATATTTTGGAAACGTGTATCTGGGTTTTGCTTCTGGAATGAATTACTAGCAAATGTAAAATTGTGTTCAATGTTTTTGGCCCCCTGGATTTAAATCCCTACATTCTGTAGATTTTGGGTAAAATTTGCTGTTTTTAAAGTATCTTTTGTGTAAAAAGATTAGATTTTTATAATAAATGATGGATAAGATGGATCAGTGGAAACTAGCCGGTGTTGTTGTGTTTGGTTTCTTGCCTCGTTCTTTCTGTTGGTGCTCAGCGTCCGGCAGCAGCTATCATCTCTCGCACTTCTCATGCTATTTAATAACATGATGGATTTTCACACTGACAGGTGAATCTCAGTCTTTGGGTTTTCCCGCGTGCAGCAGTGGCCGCAGATAGCCAGCCCCGGAGTGAGGCGTGCATTCGCACTGGCATGTGCAGGAGATGGGAGTCGGACAGGTCTGTGCCCATTTAGGACGACTATTCAAACCATGCTGCTCCCCACTTTTCCTAAGAAAGTTTCAGGTTTAGATGCTCAAAACCCAGCCCTTCCCCCGGCCCTTCTTGTTGGCACTGGTTCCTTCCTGTGCTGTTAACCCCAGCGCCGAACAGTGTGCCAGATAAATGAAATCTAAGTAACTGCAGAACTCCTCTCGGCAGGCTTGGTGAAGGGAGCGAGCACTGAGTCACCAGACGAAATGTGCAAGTGATAATTTGATGTTTGGAAGCAAATACTTTTCTCAATGGGGCTGGGGAAAGCTGAGCAGGTAAACACTTGCCATCCAAGCGCAAGGACCTGAGTGTCGGTTCCCGGCATCCAAGTAGAGCCGCATCTGTAATCCCGTGCTCTTACAGCTAACGGGAGGCGGCGGCAGGAGAATGCCCAGAAGCTCAGGGGACACTGATACCTGAGGTCCTCTGACCTTCACACACAAGCTGTCGTGTGAGTGCACATGTACACATGCTCACGCACGAAAACACACACACACACACACACACACTCACTCACGAAACCTTTTCCTACTCTGTTCCCTGAGGGCACTGACACAGGAAGCTGACAGTGGAACTCACCTCTGAGGTAATACGTGAATCCTGAACCAGGAAGGAAAGGAGCCGGGTTGCATGCTGCCTCTGGCTGTGGGCTGCCCTGAGTGTGTAAGAATGAGAAACACATTTTACAGCTGCAGCCACAGTTGCCACGGGCTTCCCCAGCCTTCCGGGGAGTGCTTCGATGAATGGGGACCACAGCTCAAGGAGCCTGGCAGTCCCTGGGGCTGCTTCATGTCAAGATGGCGCCTCAAGAACATGGTGAGGGGCTTGACTGGGGAAGGGAGGCTGTGTGGGCTACTCTGGGGCTGGATTTGCATTTCTGGAGCTATGGTCTCTGTTCAGCTTTTGCTTCCTTCCCTGGACTCTGTTCCCACTCGATGGCTCCTGCTCTTACAAATAGCCACAAGCAAAAAAAAAGGGGGGTGGAGGGTCAGAAGAACAGCCATTTTGATGTGTAGTCTTTAAAAGTTCAGTCCCATCCCCTGTGTGTTGCCTCCTCCTTGACACTTGATACATAAGCTTTTCTGTCTCTTGGCATGAATTCTGTAAAGCCTACACTGAAATTTTCTAGGTAAATACCTAGGTAAATGCTCAAATTACGCATGCATTTTTTACTCTCTACCTCCCCCTGCTGCTGAGAGGATTGTAACCCAGAAGCTCTCCATAGTCCAGGTGGCTCCAGGTTCTTTATTGGGGGAATACGTTATTCATGCTGTCCTTAACTAAGAGAGAAAAGAGACTCCGTGCTTTCTGTGAACCCCAAACCTCCCGAGACAGCCCCAGTTCCTCACTAACTTTTCAAAACCCTCTTCTGTCCAGCTTGTCCCATGTTCTAAACCCTCCTGGTAATTTCTCTTCTAGAAGTTGCCAACTGAAGTGGCATCTCAGACTTAGCCTCTCTAAGCCTTCCTGTGATTTTTCAGTCTGCACAGTTATTTTAGCCAGTCTCCTCACCCTTGGGGTGAGGGCCTCCATGCCACATGGGTAAAACACCTATACGGTTATAAAGCAGCCCAAGCTAGAGAGCAGCTGTTTTAGAATCTAATTTCTTTCCTGGTGTGGTCTTTTAACCAGTTTCGGGCTCACACTTCGTTTCCCCTTGCCTTGGCCTCACTCAGTGACTCCATCTCAAATGAAATGCACCAAGAAGGCTCCTTACAGTGCCTCCAGGCACCGGGACCACACTAGGTGTGACCCCTGCGGGTCATTAAGAACTTGATGTCCAATTTAAAAAAAAAAAAAAAAAAAAGACAAACACGGTTTGACTAGCCAACAAACATAGATTTGGTAAAGATGGAGAAACGGGTTTTCTGTTCATAAATCACGGGCTTTGATGTCAACTGTCCTTTCAAATATGATTCTGCAAGAGAAACCAAAAGACTGGTGGGGATTTGGAGGTCTAAGGAGAAAGAAACCTGTCATCTGTTCTCAACTGTCGAGTCAACGTCTCCCAGGCCTCGTGGGTAGGCTGCCAGTGGCCAGGCCTTTCCTCCAAGTGCTTTACCTTCTTCACCCACTCATGTCCCTTCCCAGATCACATTCCCTCCAGTAACACCTCTCCCCTCCCCCTCACCACCTGTCGCTGGTCAGCCTCATCCTGCCCATGTTCCAAGCTTACATGTCCTTACCCATCACTGAATCTCATCGCCAAGAATATTAAGTAGATATTGCTCCCAAGAGGACACTTTGGTTTATGCTCAGCAAAATTAATATTTTCAACATTCTCTCTCCCTAGAAGGTAGTTTCTTGCCATATTTGCAAAACTGAGGGAATAGGATTTACTCAGTATATTGAATGGGATCAGAGACATTTTTTCCATTTTTTTTTTCAATCAGGCAAAAGATGGAGTTAACTGGCCCCATATTCCCAATTATTCAAATGACATTTAGCCCTCTTGCAGATTAGCAACCCTAGGCACCTGTCCAAATGCACTAATGTCTATTTCAGCTTGGCCTGGCACACAGTACCTGGTTCCTGGCCACAGCTACTTCCTTCTCAACAGGAATTAGCAAGCAACAAATTAAAAGGCGATTTTGCTCTTGAAATGCCTCGCGGGCGTTAAGGAGTAAAGCAGAAAGGCTTTCCTGCTCCAGTTACTCAGTTGTACCACTAGGGGGGATCAAGCACCGCCTGTATGAAAGGGGTTCTTACTCACCTTTCCCCCCCACCCCCCAAAAATGAGTTGGCTTCACGCCCCCACCCTGCTATGGCTATAGTACTGCGTAGAGTGCTCAGACCCTTTGAAAGACAGCAGTTGCCCATCAATTTTATGAGGCAATCAAGCTAGCCTGTTCACAACCTTTCCTGGGCAGCTGCTCCGTGCGAAGGAAAAGCTCAGAGGTCTCTTCCATTTCATGCCCTCCTTCCTTATCTTCTCATCTAGCCCTGCAGATAGAACTTGCCGGTGAGAAAGCACCATGGAGAGATTCCTGAGAAAAGGTCACAGCCCTGGATGGAGATCACAGCGCTCCTGCTGATGGAGGGAGGAATGTCACGCCTCCCCCTCTGCTGATAGCTTCCTGCTCTGCTCCACTGGCTCTGGGAAGCACAGAGCCTCCTGTTTGGAAGAGCCCACATTAGCAGCCACGTTTGCTGCCTAGCCAGTCCAGCATATGCCCTAACAAGCTGCAGCTTTCCCGTTGTTGGGAACCCACCTTGATGAGAACCTCTTCCTGTGCACAGGGCATTGCTGACTGTAGGTTCTTGTTCCCATCTCACACAAGCAACTCGGCTATCAAAGATACCTCTGATGGGAACCATGACTGAAAATGTCCAGAGTGCGTCCTGTGGGCTTCATAAATGTCATTGATGCTCAAAGCACAAGTAGGCAGGAACTCCATTTTATGGGTGAAAAATAGGTTCGGGCAACTTGACTGCCATACTGGATTGCAAGATTATACCGAAAGTCGCTAACACAGCTGGGTTTTGAACTAGAGACCAAAACTTGCACCAGATCTCTGCCTGTTACACTAACACTGCCAAGGTCGCGTGTCTAAGGAGTATTGGGGTTTGAGTACTACTATGTCCTTTCTAATATGAGAGCTCTCAGTGAATATTCTGGGACATGGTATGCAAGTGCATGCCAGTTTAAACACACGGTTTTAAACACGTTTTAGTATGTCATCCAAGTGACTATTTTTAAATTGCATATATTTAAGCATGCATAGCTTTTATTTCAGTGGTTTAACCCAAAGCTTTGTACATACCCACTCTCGTTAGAGGGACAGTGAGCCCCACTGGACAATGTAGCCTAGGGCCCCTGTCTATTGAACAGTCACCGCTGTGATCTTGCTTCCAGTTGCTGAGGGAGCTCCTAGTTTGGGTTTTATTGGAAACAAAGTTGCAGATTTAGTCCCTGCAAGCTCTGATTTATTATAGGAAAAGGCTGGCAGGCATCTCAAACTTGGCAAAGTGAATTCCTCACACAGTTCTGCTACACTTCCCCTCCGCTGTGAACTTAGCTCCTTGGAGCGTGAGGAGGAGGGACGCGCTGCAACGTCCTTATTGAATCCATTCCTTGTTCCAGATAAGAAGCTGTGTCTCCAGCAGAGCTGCTGCTGTGACCCCAGCTCTGCCCCTGGTCCTGACTGCACTGCTGAGCTCAGAGAAAGGCAGGGCCCAAGCTCTCCCACCTTTGCATGCCCGGCTCTCTTGATTCTCCTCCTGTTCTTCAAATTGCTCGCCCTCTGAGACATGAGGCACGGGGACCCTCCACAAATCAAGCAGCTCAGCTGCCTCCGAGGCTCACTCACAGGGACGGACTGCAGTTCTTGGGCCCCAACCCCCCTGCACTAAGATCTACTAGTGAAAAGATGACTTCTTGTCTCTGTGGCTCAATCCTACGAGCTGTCTTCCTCCAAGAGATAAATGAACTAGCCCTTTCTTTTTGTTCCCTCTTTGGTGACAGTCGGTGTCTGAGAGGAGTTTAGGCTTTTTGCAAAGCTGGCGATGAGTTGAACGGCTGCTTGGGTATTGGTGTCAGGTGGGCAGGTTAGCTCCGGTAAGCCAGCAACCAGACGGGCCTGGAGGACAGCAGCATTCTTCTTGGAGGGAGCCCTGACGGGGGGAATCTGACCATGCTGTGGACGGTGGAGGAAGATAACATGGTGGCTGCGTGTTCTGGGCATCAGCACTCATGATCCCATCGTTTCCAGGGTGGCGTGTCCCTGTAGGCA